CACACTTAGGTCTCTCATCTAGTTTGAATTTATTTTTGTGTATGGTGTAAGAAAGTGGTACAGTTTTCCCAACACCATTTGTTGAAGAGACTGGTTTTTTTCCCCCACTGGATATTGTTTGCTGCTTCATCAAAGATTAGTTAACCATATTGTGGGTCTATTTCTGGGTTTTTCATTCTGTTCCATTAATCTATGTGTCTGTTTTTGTGCCAGTACCATACTGTCTTGATGATTATAGCTTTATAACACATCTTGCAGTCTGGAATTGTGATGCCTCCTGCTTTGCTTTTCTTTTTCAACATTACTTTGGCTATTCGGGTCTTTTGTGGTTCCATACAAATTTTAGAATTGTTCTAGCTCTGTGAAAAATGCTAGTGGTATTTTGATAGGGATTGCATTAAATGTGTAATTGCTTTTAGTATAGGCATGTTAACAACATTTGCTTTTCCAGTCCATGAGCATGGAATGTTTTTCCCATTTCTTTGGGTCTTCTTTGATTTCTTTCGTAAGTGTTCTATAGTTTTCAGAGTACAAATTTTTTACCTCTTTGGTTAGGTTTATTCCTAGGTATCTTATGGTTTTTGGTGCAATTGTAAATGGGATTGATTCCTTGTTTTTCTTTCTGCTGCTTCATTATTTGCGTATATAAATGCAAAAGATTTCTTCTATATATCTCTATATATTTTTTACATTTGTATAATAGCCAACCTTACTGGGTACTCATGAATATGTCAAGGAAAATGCTTCCTTGTATTAGCACTTTTTAAAAAAATTTTTTTTTCAACGTTTTTATTTATTTTTGGGACAGAGAGAGACAGAGCATGAACGGGGGAGGGGCAGAGAGAGAGGGAGACACAGAATCGGAAACAGGCTCCAGGCTCCGAGCCACCAGCCCAGAGCCCGACGTGGGGCTCGAACTCACGGACCGCGAGATCGTGACCTGGCTGAAGTCGGACGCTTAACCGACTGCACCACCCAGGCGCCCCTGTATTAGCACTTTTAATCTTCATGATAATCTTTAAGGTAGGAATAAAATTTCCATTTTACAAATGAGGGATCTGAAACACCTGGAGAAAGATACAGTCACATGTTTTGTACATCTGAGTCTGTGCCCTATCAAGTTCCTACCTTGTTTCCTCAACCTCCGGTGAGATAGAGAATAATCCTGTTTCCCTGGAATGCTAGAATATTTTACCCTAACAGAGTAATAAAGTTTCCACTGAACACGAAATAGAGTCAACTGCAGCTTTTACATGTCAGTGCAATTTCCCCTAGCTTTTATCCATCAAGTTTTCAAAAACTGTAAGGCCTGACTCTGGGTGCCTCTTAGCCATCCATCAGCTGGTTTGGCTTAGTTTTATCACTCATGGGACATGCTTGGTAGGAAGATCTAGTATGACTCTCCTGAGGTGTGCTGGCAATTCCAGGTCAAGGCTATTTTGACTTTTTCAAGCAGATGGAGCTGCAATCTCTCTCTGTTGAGTAGAAATATGTATATATAGAACACCAGATGTTAGAGATTTAACAGCACACAGATTGTTCCAGAGCCACAGGAACATAAGCTAGTAACAATCCAGTGATGCAGTCACTCCTACCAAGTGAAAACGGACAATTATACCTGGGAGTAATAGTTCTTGAGCTCTTGCATTATCAGTAGGCTTGGACTTATTTGCTCAAAGACGTAAAACTATGGACGTCTCATTGTCTGGGTGGGAAGTCTCATCCTCCCCAGAAATGAAGGCCATGTTCAGAGCTCAGCTGCCTGGAAGGTGTGAAGAGCTCATCATAAAATCACCCTTTCTAGTCAAAAAGCACCAGTAACAAATCAAACACCCAGACAGAAAAAAAGGCTCCTTGGGACAGAATTGTCTAAAAGGTACTGCTTTCTTTCAACATTCCTAGAACTTTTGTCTAGAATTTACATTATGTTCTTGATTTTGTTTTTGAATTCTAGTTCATCTATAAAATGGAGCCCTCAGTTCTGCCACCAAGTGGCTAGCCCAGAATTCCATAGCATTCTTCTGCCATGTAGTTACCTACTCCAGAGGATGAAACAAACTTTCATATGGAGGGCTGGATAACATTGCCCTTCTCTTCTTCCAGTAAAAAAAAAAAAAAAAAAAAAAAAAAAAGGTTCTTGCAGCAATCTCTGTGGGGTGTCAGACCTGAAAAACAGAGCAGGCCTCTCTCTCCTGGTACCTCACCTACCTCGATCCTTACCACCTCTCCTGCATGTCTGCAGACAGCTGGTCTCCTCAAAGGGCATTTCCATTGGTACATTCCATACTGTTGTTGTAACAGAATGGGTCTTTTTTAAGGCTTTTAGCTTTTGCAGTTGTGACAGGGCAAAGACTGATGAAGTAGGTGTCGTCTTCAGCACTCCTTCCTTCTCTCTCTCTACCTCTCCTAGGGAGGGGCATTCATCCTCCCCACTGATCTCTGTGCTTTCCTTTGTTAAGGACAAGCTGGGTAGTGGTGGAAAGGAAACAAAAGGAAGGCAGAGTTGGGGGAAAATAGACAAGCCCAACTAGGGCAAGAATTTGGTGGGTTTTGGAGTGAGACCAGTTGCAGGGCTTGCGAAAATTAGGAGGAAATAGGCTTTCTAGAAGTGTTGTGATAAGTCACAGATTTCATATATTTGGGGGCTCCCGTATTCGGCACATAGACATTTATAATTGTTAGTTCTTCTTGATGGATAGACCCTGTAATTATTATATAATGCCCTTCTTCATCTTGTTACAGCCTTCAATTTAAAGTCTAGTTTGTCTGACATAAGTATGGCTACTCCAGCTTTCTTTTGACTTCCAGTAGCACGATAAATAGTTCTCCATCCCCTCACTCTCAATCTGAAGGTGTCCTCAGGTCTAAAATGAGTCTCTTGTAGACAGAAAATACATGGGTCTTGTTTTTTTATCCATTCTGATACCCTATGTCTTCTGGTTGGCGCATTTAGTCCATTTATGGTCAGTGTTATTATAGAAAGATATGGGTTTAGAGTCATTGTGATATCTGTAGGTTTCATGCTTGTAGCGATATCTCTGGTACTTTGTCTCACAGGAACCCCCTTAGGATCTCTTGTAGGGCTGGTTTAGTGGTGATGAAGTCCTTCAGTTTTTGTTTGTTTGGGAAGACCTTTATCTCTCCTTCTATTCTAAATGACAGACTTGCTGGATAAAGGATTCTTGGCTGCATATTTTTTCTGGTCATCACATTGAAGATTTCCTGCCATTCCTTTCTGGCCTGCCAAGTTTCAGTAGAGATCCGTCACGAGTCTTATCAGTCTCCCTTTATATGTTAGAGCACGTTTATCCCTAGCTGCTTTCAGAATTTTCTCTTTATCCTTGTATTTTGCCAGTTTCACTATGATATGTCGTGCAGAAGATCAGTTCAAGTTATGTCTGAAGGGAGTTCTCTGTGCCTCTTGGCTTTCAAGGCCTTTTTCTTCCCCAGATCAGGGAAGTTCTCAGCTATTATTTCTTCAAGTACACCTTCAGCATCTTTCCCTCTCTCTTCCTCCTCTGGAATACCAATTATGCGTAGATTATTTCTCTTTAGTGCATCACTTAGTTCTCTAATTTTCCCCTCATACTCGTGGATTTTTTAATTTCTCTTTTTCTCAGCTTCTTCTTTTTCCATAACTTTATCTTCTAGTTCACCTATTCTCTCCTCTGCCTCTTCAATCTGAGCTGTGGTCGTCTCCATTTTATTTTGCAGCTCGTTAATAGCATTTTTTAGCTCCTCCTGGCTGTTTCTTAGTCCCTTGATCTCTGTAGCAATAGATTCTCTGCTGTTCTCTATACTGTTTTCAAGCCCAGCAATTAATTTTATGGCTATTATTCTAAATTTGCTTTCTCTTATATTGTTCAAATCGTTTTTGATCAGTTCATTAGCTGTCGTTATTTCCTGGAGGTTTTTTTGAGGGGAATTCTTTGGTTTCATCATTTTGGATAGTCCCTGGAGTGGTGCGGGACTGCGGGGCACTTCCCCTGTGCGGTCTTGAATAACTTGCGTTGGTGGGCGGGGCCACAGTCAGACCTGATGTCTGCCCCAGCGCACCGCTGGGACCACAGTCAGACTGGTATGTACTTTCTCTTCCCCTCTCCCAGAGGTGGGATTCACTGTGGGGTGGTGTGGCCTGTCTGGGCTACTTGCACATTGCCAGGCTTGTGGTGCTGGGGATCTGGCGTATTAGCTGGGTGGATCAGCAAGGTGCGCAGGGGCGGGAGGGGCAGGCTCAGCTCACTTATCCTTCGGTAATCCGCTTCAGGAGGGGCCCTGTGGCACCGGAAGGGAGTCAGACCCACCAGAAGTACAGCGTTCGGTGTTTGTGCGGTGCAAGCCAGTTCCCTGGCAGGAACCAGTTCCCTTTGGGATTTTGGCTGGGGGATGGGCGAGGGAGATGGCGCTGGCGAGCACCTTTGTTCGCCGCCAAGCTGCGCTCTGTCATCTGGGGCTCAACAACTCTCCCTCCCATTGTCCTCCAGCCCTCCCGCTCTCCGAGCAGAGCTGTTAACTTATAACCTTCCAGGTGTTAAGTCCCGCTTGCTGTCCAAACACACTCCATCCGGCCCCTCCGCTTTTGCAAGCCAGACTCAGAGGCTCTGCTTTGCCGGTGGGCTGCCCCTCCTCCCCCGCTCCCTCCCGCCAGTCCGTGTAGCGCGCACCGCCTCTCTGCCCTTCCTACCCTCTTCCGTAGGCCTCTTGTCTCCACTTGGCTCTGGAGAATCCGTTCTGCTAGGCTTCTGGCGGTTTTCTGGGTTATTTAGGCAGGTATGGGTGGAATCTAAGTGATCCGCAGGACTTGGTGAGCTCAGCATCCTCCTATGCCGCCATCTTCCCAGAAGCCACTCCCCAAGTCACAGATTTCAATTAACATTCTTCAAGAGACACAAAGTTTGGGAGACATATTAACATTACTTTTGGTTACCAGACTGCATTTCTTAGTGCTGCTTGGTACTCAGATCCATGGGATCAGGAAATCTGTCAGTATGCAAATCCAGTCACCCAGAACCAGAACATTTATTTGGATCCTAGTATACTTTGTTGGAGGGACAAACAGTCAGGTTCCATTGGGTGGACCCTGTGAGAGTGACAGTATCTGTTATTGGCACTTCCCAGCTTAAGTCCCCCTCCTCTATCTCAGGACCCATCTACCTGCAATTCCTGAATTCTGACATCTGGTGGGCTGCTGGCATATCCCTCCCAGTTTAGGGGTCCATGAAAATGTTTTTCTTTTAAAATCAGAAGAAAAAAATGAATATAAATGAGGTTGGGTTGTATGTTTGTTCCAGTACCATTGTAAAATACAATTTTCAATATTTACAGAGGAAGGAACCAACAAAAACAAAAACCCTCAAAACAGACTCCATCCTGTATTGCCTCCTGCAATCACACAGCCTACTACAATCTATTGGGAATGGCTAAATTCAGGGCTGAAACATTTGCAACTCTACTTGCCAATAGACCTAAGCCAAATCTCCAACTTTGCTTTTAATAAAATCTGTACAGTAATTTGATCTTCATCTAACTCCTCTATTGCTCAATTGTCTTGCATCCAGGCAAACTCTTCAAATGCCAGCACATCAGCACAATCATTTCACAGCTCACATTCCCAGCTGCTTATTTCAGTGGGTCAAACTCATTCTTTTCACAAACCCATTCTTTTCACAAACTTCTGTTATTCTTGACATCTTTTCATTTGGCTAAATTTAATCCAAATAAAAGTTTTACTGCTTGAGGATTTCTACTTCATATGGGCTCCTATGATTTGGGGGCCACGTTGTAGCATACAGAGCACCTAGAGAGATATGAGACTTCTAGGGCCTGATACAGGACTCTTTATATTTGGTTGTGCCCACCACAGCCTTTACTCTAATGACCAGGTCAAACACTTCCCAAATGGACTTCCCTTTTCCATTCAAGTCCCTCAAACTTGTGTTCCACAATGCAACTGGATTGACCCATTAAAACATAAACATAAATACATCAATGTCAATTGTGTGTGCCTAAAGCCCTTCAGTGACTTGCCCTGTATTTGGGGGGAAAAAACAAGATGCTAATATGGCCCACACAGTCTGGGGGTCTGGCCTTGCCCCATGTAGACTCTCCATCCCACTGACGATGCTCCTTGCAAAGACATCCCAGCTCTTGGACCACACCCCTCATTTTCCACCCCAGAGCCTTCAAGTGTGCTATTCCCCAGCACCATCAGCTGCTGTTCTTTCCCCAGTAATGCCTCCTTATCCTTTAAGGAATGTCATTACTGTTGCTCTCTCAGAAAACTGTCTGACCCTCAAATCTAAAAGCCCTCAATATCTTCACTGACCACTTTGTATTCCTTTGGAGCACTTATCAAAGACTGAGATGACATTTGTGTGTTTACTTAATGTCAACTCTTCCATTGGATCATAAACTCTATGTGGGCAGGGTCTATATTTGTCTTGTTAACTATATGTCTCCAATGTCTAGCACCACGCCTTGTTCAGCTATGACATTATAAAGATTTTTTTTTAATGAATGACTAAATCCATACTATAATGAGATCTTTATAGTTAAGATTTTAGAGTGGGTCTGCTATTGATTTCTTGTTCTTCCTTCTAATGATAAGCCTATGCAGTGTGGCTGAGAATAATCTGTATTTTTTCCAGACCCTCTTCTGTATGACCTATGTTGTTTTTGTCCTGCTATGAGTCCTACCATACATCCTACTATACTTAACGGCTCACAGTGTTCACCACAGTTCTTTTGCTTTTTGCTTTTGCACTTGCTCAAAGAAAAGTCATTAAGTATGAAATCTCTATCAGTGATTTCTACTGAAGTCTTGGCATCTCTCCAATTTGCTTTGCAGCTTTCTGGATGTCTCTTTAACTTTCTAATGAAAAAGATTTCTTGATGCTGTGGTTTTGTTTAATCTGAGCATCCTGTATTTGTGTTCTCTTTGGTAGCTTCATTCTCTCTGCAGGACCACACTCCATGACTGCAGTGGTGAGGGCACCTGCATTCTGGAATAACAATAAGAGTTTTTATTGAGTGCTGAATATGTGTTAGGCACTGTTGAAGTATTAGCACATTTAATCCTCAGACCAAATTAATGAGGCAAGAACTATTATAATCCTCATTTACAGATCACTACTAAATATCAGGCTTCCCTAGGGACTTGTGAAGGCTATGACATTTCTGGGTAGCTTCATTAATGAAACCCCTCAACAAAAGAAATAATTAGGGAGTGACTCAGGGAACCCATTTCCTTTCCAGCTTCCCTGGTGACTGTGGTACTGTAGGTAGATAGTGAGAATATGGAATTTTCTTCTGGCTTGGAAGTAATTGCTACCTCGGTCAGTCACTCTCAAACGGGAACAGCTGCTTTCTGTTCAGCAAAAAGAAGTGGTATATACACATGGGCTAAAAACAAGGCAGATGTTTAGAAGCTGATGAACTTTTGTGTTTATCATATGGCACAGTAGTGGTCATAATAGGAACTCAAAAATGACTCAAATGAAGAAAATAACACAAGCAGGATGGGATCCTCAGTTTGGGTTCCTGGCTCATTTTCTGTGTTGAAGTCCATTCCTCCATTTTAACAGAAAATACAGAAATAATTAAATTCATGCAAGAAGCTCAGAGATCAAGGGATGATGCTGGAAAATGGTTATTATCCTAACACTTAAACCATCAGAATGCAACAGGTAAGACATTTCTCGCTGGGCTTCCATGCACCATCACAACCAAGGAGCAGTTGGATTTTCTTGGCGGACTGTCTTTCCTGGGCATCTCTTCCCATATACTCCCTCCCGATATCTTCCTGGTCTCCTAACACTATCTTGCATCATGTACCCTATTCAACAATCCAAACCTACTGCCATGCCAGTAACTCTCACACTCAGTCCTCTGCTTTGTCTTGGGCCCTTTTATACTTCCTCTTCTTATTTATGCTTTGTTTTATTCTCCTCTGCTCATTAATGCTATGTCTCACGCTTATCTTCCCCCCACCCCAAGTTTGTCCCTAATTTCTTTTCTACTTATTTTCCCTTTAAACCACCATTTTTTAATTACAATGCTATCAAAATGGAAATTAATGATAAAAGATAAAAGACATCTAGCCACAGATAAATTTTAAATTCTAAACATTTAGGTTCAAAGAAGGAATAAAAACAGAAAATACAGACTTATAATAACAAATGGCAATGAAAAGGTTGTAGATCTATGAGATGCAACTAAGACTACATTAAGGGGGAAATTTCATAACATCAAATGTTTTTATTTTTAACCTAGAGTGAATAAAAATAAAAGAACTAAATTTTCAACTCAAGAAAATAGAAAAAGAAAAATAAGTCAAGAGAAAGTAAATATAGGTATATAAAAATAATAAAAGCAGAAAAAAAATTTAGAAAAAGAGAGAGTAGATAAAACTAAAACTTTTTTTTGAAAATCTAACAATTTCACTAGCTAATAAGTCTGTTTAAAAAAAAAGAGAAAATTCAAATAAACAAAATTAGGAATAAGAACGAGGACATAGCTATTATATGGGGTGCCTGGGTCGCTCAGTCAGTTGAGTGTCCAACTCTTGATTTCAGCTCAGTTCATGATCCCAGGGTCATGGGATTGAGCCCCATGCTGGGCTCTGTGCTGACCATGGAGCCTACTTGAGATTCTCTCTCCTTCTGCCCTCCTCCCCTTCTCATGCTCTCTCTTAAAAATAAAAAGTTAAAAAAAAAAACTGGATATAACCATTATGTTCAACTTTATGCTTATAAATTTGCATTGCTTGTACTATTAAAAATTTAGGACAAAGGCACTTCAATGGAAAAAATAGCTATCTATGATATCTAGATACCACGGAGAACAATTTAGCCATTAAAAATAATGAAGAATTTGGGACACCTGGTTGGCTCAGTGGTTGAGTGTTGGACTCCTGATTTCAGCTCAGATAATGATCTCAGGGTTGTGGGATCAAGCCCCATGTCAGGCTTTGGGCTGAGTGTAGAGGCTGCTTAAGATTCAATCTCTGTCTCTCTCCCTCTCTGCCCCTCCCCTGCATTCTCTCTCTTTCTCTCAAATTAAAAAAAAAAAAAAAAAAAAAAAAAAGGATTTCTATATACAGGATGTGAAGTGCTGCTCTGGCCCAGGATTAACCCTGACAAGGGGAATTCCTAGAGTCTTCTTTCCCTGTTCAACCTGCTTACTTTGGACCCTTGGCCACTGCTTTCCTTACGGTCCTCTTTGATGGTGTCCTTGGTCTCCTTACAGTCTTAATAGCCCTTTTATCATCAAATCCAGCAAATCTTCCACTTGAAACTTGTTAACAATTCAGTAGTCAGTTTAAGAATGTTTATTTCTGAGGGGTTTAAATGTGTGTGTATGTTCAAAACATACAAGACACAGTTCGTGCCCTCAAGAAACTGACAGTTGCATATAATGATTCAGTAAAAACAACAAAGCAAGATCTTATTAAGTACCTCAAAGCAAACTTGTAAGGTTGCTCTGAGGCTTCAGGTAAGTAGAACATATGAAAATGCTCTGTAAACAGGAAGTGACATGGAAATATTGGTAATTATTATATTTGTTGTTGTTTTCCTTGTTATAGTTGCAACAAAAACTCCTGACAACCTGTATAGTATGTAAACTGTCTCCCTAATTTCAAACTCTTCCTTAGCCTGTCACCCTTTTCACCCTTCCTATAACCCATAAGACCTACCCCATTGTTGAAAATGATGGATGTAGAAGAAAGAGCACCCCAAAAGACAAAGGTGAAAGGGAACGAGGGGGAATTTAAAAAGGACTTATTGAGTTGAATGGGTACATGGCAACACCATTGTAAAATCAGCTTATTTGTATATATAAAAATTGGATAAAAAGAAGTTTTATATTTTATAGTTTGGTATTTGAACATTTATGTTAGAATACTCCATACTAGACAGTTTTTGAATATGCTTTGGATACTAAAAATATTATGTATTAATGCCTTTTGAACTTAACCTATAAGTATACGGGCTCCAATTATTTGGCCATTCTCACCTTAACATAGTGTATCTATTTTAGTAGTAAATACAAACCAATCTTCATTGGCACACACGTAGGGAAAAAAATTCAATGAACAGAATGAGGCTAAACATTAGTGTGTTGAAGCTAATGATGGCAAACATTTCCACAGGTTTTATGTAATTATTTCCATAGTTTCTTCACATTCATCTCCAAAAATCATCTTAGGAGGTGACTGCTTTATCTAACATTTTACTGACTGAATTCATGATTCTTTGATAACTTATAGCCTTAGAAAGTCCATCAAACTGTCAACTTGTATATTAAAATAAACAAGTATTTGCTTTTTAGTCACAATGGATTATCATTGATTACTCCAGTATTTAAGACAGACTAATTGTTAAACGCTCAATAGAATTATTTTAGCCATAGCATCTTAAGTAAGAAACTCTACAAATAGCAAGCAAATAACAAACTCTTTCCCTTCTCCCATTTTTCCTAAGAAAAGAAATGTTATGATGTAGGCTTTCATTTTCTTTATAAAATCATCATGGAAGTACCACCTACAATTGAAAAAATTCTATATTGATTTTATTGAATTAAATACCATGTTTTTTGTTGAAACCCCAGGAACATAACTGCTAATACATTTAACTAGAGATTGCACGATATTTTAAAAATGTGTAAATATGAAAAATTTTGCAAATATGAAATATGAATATTTAAGAGTTTCCCTGGGGCGCCTGGGTGGCGCAGTCGGTTAGGCGTCCGACTTCAGCCAGGTCACGATCTCGCGGTCCGTGAGTTCGAGCCCCGCGTCAGGCTCTGGGCTGATGGCTCAGAGCCTGGAGCCTGTTTCCGATTCTGTGTCTCCCTCTCTCTCTGCCCCTCCCCCATTCATGCTCTGTCTCTCTCTGTCCCAAAAAATAAATAAACGTTGGAAAAAAAAAAAAAAAAGAGTTGCCCCAATTTTTTATACATTTGAGGTAGAGATGTTTATACTAATGACCTGCCTAGTGTTTAAGTCATTCAGAAAATCAACTTTTGTTCTTGAGCCCCAAATTTATGCAAAACATTCAGAAGACAAGGAATATGATTTAAAAGCAGTAAAAACTTTTAAAACAACTCACTGTAATTAATTAGCAGTAGAATTTCTTCTTTTAAACATTTCATCTATTTCTAAAAATTATTTAACTTCTATAAGCTTATTTTCTCTCTTTAAAAACAGATTCATCATTTTTGTGGAAAAATTAAAAGGATTCCTAATTCTTTGACATACTATAAAGCAGAGATTGGGGCGCCTGGGTGGCGCAGTCGGTTAAGCGTCCGACTTCAGCCAGGTCACGATCTCGCGGTCCGTGAGTTCGAGCCCCGCGTCGGGCTCTGGGCTGATGGCTC